ATGATGGTTCTACATTCATTTATTATAAATTACACTGAAATGAAAGAAATTATTTTCTAACCTTCTTAGGGAAATGCCAAGAGTAGCAACCTGATTAAGGCATATTACATGTGATTGTTTTAGTCTTAGAGCTCATTGATAGCTGATGGAATCATATGACATATGACAGAGTATTTGTAAATATTTATCCCCCCTTCTATCTACACTACTTTTTTTCCGCACCCAATCTTTGTTTATATTAAATAGAATAAAATGTTTATAGTTTAAGACATTAGAACATTGTTTAAAGGGAGAAATATATATATAAATTGTCCAAACAAACGGAGCAAATTTAACAGAAAAGCATGTTATTACACTTTTACACAAGTAAGAATCGGTTAAATACGGTCTTTCGATGCCTGGACTCTTCGTTGTTTACATTCCCAAATTCTTCCGGTGATCGTTCACGGTTAGATCGTACTCCGTGTTACTCGAAGTTTATAATGTAAATCTGTGTTTAGAGAAAAGAATGTTTTATTTTCTATTGAAATTTAATATATTTCTTTTGTAAACATTTTATATCGTATTTCGTTTTTGTAATTTATTCTGAAATATGAATGAACTTTTTCTCGAATCTGATTGGCTGTAGGATACAGGATAGGATTGGATTAACTTCTATATGTTTCTATCGTGAATCCTGAATCCTGAATCCTATCCGATCCTATCCCATGTCAACTTGTGGGATAGCAGCACTGTACCATGAGGATTATTATGCCTGAGTCTGCACTAGTATCACATTTCACTTCAAACATAATCTGCAAGATGTTTGGGCGGTTTCCTGACACGACTCGGATATCTTGGTACAGGAACGGCTTGAGTAGACGGCATGGCACGGTAATCATTGGATGGATGCGAAAGACGTGGTTCTGCATTGGACGCGGGTGAGTTGTTTCGCGATGTTTGACTTCACCGGTTGTTGACTCACAGCCGTGTTACTAGGTTGACCATGTAAGTCCTCCTGAAATGGCACATTTGAAGAACGCAACTGATCAGCGTGTCGTCTCCATGTGACTCCTGGTGTAACTTCTACAGAATATGATACAGGTCCAGTCTGAGCTGTCACGGTTCCGGAAGTCCAATAAGATTGATCCTTTTTGTAGTCACGAACAGCAACAGAATCTCCTTGTTCGAATTTACGTAACACACTTTTTCTTCTTTCGCGCACTTCACACTGTTTCCCCTCTACTTTCCTCCTGACATCTGGTTTCATGAGATCTAAACGAAATGGTAAGTTTCTGCCAATGAAGAGTTTTGCTGGACTTGCATTTGTAATGCACTGTGGAGCGTTACGGTAAGCCGTAAGAAAATTGCTGAGTTTCTTCAACATTGCTAACATTTTCCTTTTTACTCGACTTGAGACTCATCTTGAATGACTGCACAAATCTTTCTGCTAAACCGTTAGTACTGGAGTGATAGGGTGCTGAGGTTATGTGTTTTATACCCAGTACCTCCAGTAAGTTGTACAGTGGGTGAAGCACTGTAGATAAATTGGGAATGAAACGTGCATAATAGTTCACAATCCCCAAGAATGAACAAAGCTCGGACACATTAGTAGGTTGTGGTGCATTTACAACAGCTCTCATCTTTTTTGTCTTTTGTAATCCATGACGGTCAATTTTATGCCCACAGAAAAATACTTTATCCTTGAAAAATTGGCATTTATCCAAATTTACTCTGAGTCCATATTCTGCCAATCTGCGAAGCATAACGTCTTTATTTTGCAAATGCTCTGCTTCATCTTTGTCCGTGATGATCATATCGTCGATGATACTCTTCACTCCAGAAAGTCCTTGAAGCACCATATCCATCGAACGCTGCCAAATCGCTGGACACTAGGCGATTGCTACGATACAAGCCTTTCTCTGTGTTTATCGTAAGTAAGGGACGTAAATCTTCTTCTACCTCCATCTATAGGTACCGGTAAGCATGTTTTAAATCCACTTTTGAGAATTGTTGTCCTCCAGACAGAGCAGTAAATATATCTTCAATTCTTGGAAGAGGGTACTGGTCAACTTCTAGTACTGGGTTAAGAGTCACTTTGAAATCTCCGCACACACAAACTGATGAACCATCCTTCTTACTGACTGGTACAATCGGCGTAGCCCATTCACTAAAGTTGCACTTCTCCAGGACACCATCTTTCACCAACTTCTCTAGTTTTACCTCAACTTTAGGTTTAAATGCATAAGGTACCTGTCTGGCTTTGACGAACTTGGGTTTTGCATCAGGTTTATCTGTCAACTTGGCCTTGATTCCCTTTAAGGTTTCCAATCATCCTTGAATACACTCGAATGTTTATCTAACACAGTTTTGAGATTTTTCTCTGCGTTTCATGTTGCAAGCGCTTTTATTCCTGGCCAGTTCAGTGTTATCTGTCTCAGCCAATCTCGACCAAACAGTGTAACTCCAGCTTTCTTCACAACATACAGATTAAGGTCCTTGCACTGGTCCTGGTATCTCACACTGACTTCTGCGACACCGGCAGGATTAATTCTTTCTCCTGTGTAAGTCTTTAACAGAATGTCACTGGGTTTCATCTTGACGCTTGGAAATTTTTCCTTGAATATTTTCTCGGGAATAACAGATATTGCAGCCCCTGTATCCAATTCCATTTCCAGACTAACACTGTTTACTATGGGTGAGATCCTGATCACATCATCTGATCTTCTCATGGAGTTAAAAGCCATTCTCTGTAACCACTTAAACTTCGTTGCCATGCATGGTCACTGATTTTGATGAAACTTCACCCATGCTTAGTACTTGGCACCAGAAACAAATATCAAACAAACTTTCGTTGTTATGTGTCTCGGTTGTTTTGGCAACAACCATAAAAGTTTGAAAAATCGAGATATTCAGTCACTTTAAATCTTGATTGTGGCTTAATAAAAACTAGAAAAGGCAAACAAACCTTTCTCGCAAAAACTTGACACCTTGATGTCACTTATACTGTAAAGAAACTGTTTAGAATATATCTCTAAGTACGTGGTAACCAAGGGTACATTTGGAATACATTTAAAATGCTGAAATATGCTGAAAAACACTTCGCATTCACTAATAGTAGGTATTAGCTGCTCAAACTCAATCAACGACTTTAGAATAACAATGAAAATATTTGACCTTAAGTACATAAGTATAAGCAATATTATTCTATAAATAACTTTTATGGTTGCCATTGTAACAAAGTGTAACCATGCAAAACCAGTAACTAAGATTGGGTTAATGCTACTATCTTGAGGAAAAACATGAAATTTCAAGACAGGCATATTTGCATCCTTAGGACCTTGCAATATCAAAACCATAAGAAAAAATTGGTATAATTGCTACTTTGTAGTATAACCATGGAAACAAAGTACAAGTGCTTAAAAGTGAATTATTTTTCGCTGCGTTAAGAATTAAATTGCCATTTAATCAGGAAACAAATTAAAGAAATCAGCTTGAATAATACTTATCTGTTAGAACTGACTTGAATATCATAAATTGATAAAATTTGATAAATAAAACAACACCAGTGCTATGGTTACCAAGAAGGGAAAATGTTCGATTTTGTGAACTTTATATCAATATTATACCCTGTGTGCCAACTTCTTGCATCCACTTAGAGATTGGATGATAGTCAAAATTAAAAGTCAAGTCAGCTGTTAATAAATATCAATCATAAAAGTTTTGGGAATCTACATTAAAGGGTACGTATCCAAGGAAAGAAAATATTTTTCAGGTTTTTAAGCATATATTTTTGGCTTATTTCCATAGCAACGCTCTATTTCAAAAATCTTATCTGAATTTTTTCAAATGGGAAAACTTGTAGCACACCAACTTCTTATAAAATTGAACATTAGTTATGAAGAAATGTGCTTTTTTTAAAAGATAGGATCAGATTTAAACATACATATTTTTACTTTGAAGGCTCTCTGTGGTATTAAAACCCTGGCAACCATTGCCAACCAAAATGAAATATCATATTTTGTTCTTGGTATATGTTTTAAGGCTTTTTTTCTATTATTTGGTCACAATTCATCCTATAATTGCTTTTTATTTTTACGTGTATGACTTTATAAAATTCAATGATTATTTTTTTTTTACTTTTGAATACTTTGTTACCATAGTAGCGTATGTAATAGTTGATTTACCAAACATGTTTATCATGCATTTGAGACATCTGACTTTCAATTTGCAACTTTTGGAAACAGCCATTGCCATTGTTTGGGTTGCCGCAAATGATAACTATGGGGCTCTATACATGTTAAAAATGCCATTTTTCGAACTTTAAGACATGTTGCCATGGTAACTATAAAACATAGCAACCAATTATTGCTTGATTTCAGTTTAGGGTATCAATGACTTTTATCATAGAGAGTTTGGAGAAATTCTGAGACTATGTATGCCACTGCTCCTATATAAAATTTCAAATCATTACAGAGAATGGCTCTTAATATCCATCTCTAAAATTTTGATGTAGATCTCATCACTAACTATCTGAACAGTCATTTATCATGTGAACACTTATCTTATTTTTCTTCTGGCTGCGACATTCCTGTTTAGAGTGACCCTTCTTGTGACAGTTGAAACACTCATTGTCTCTGTAATAACAACTTTGTGGGTTGTGGTCACCATTGCACAAGAAACACTCACTTTCACTCTGATCAATCGTCATGACGTCACGGGTTTGGTATTTAACCCCTGTGATAACTATAGAGACCCCGAAACGACAAAATTCCGTTTATATTATGCCTCTGCACATTTTAATTCATTTTTACGACTTCAAATCAATCTTAAATATCGATTTTAAGATTTTTTTCTCTAAACTTTACGTCATATATCAATACATAATCACAGTATCTACCTAAAAAAATTAATATGTTGTACAGCAAATAAAAATTCTATGTTTTGATTGATTTGATTGTACAATTAGTTTTTTTAAAATTGTTGGATTGTTTTTTTTTCTGGATGTACTTAACTTTCCCCCTACATTCTCGATCTTCTCCAACATCTCACAGGCCGTGGCAGGCTGAGGCTCCATGGCCTTCACCGATCCAGTTGAGTTCTTACAGCACTTGTGTTGCCTGGGAGGATTACCCTTTAATTTGGCAGCTGCACATACCATACTTTTTTCCCCTTTACTAAAAAATGACTATTTTCTTGGATTTTTCTCCAACAGAGAGGCAAGTCCTGTAAAAATAAAGATATCTGTATTCCAATATATAAGTAAGACACCGTCATCACAGACAACTGCCAAAATGTACGATCCTCTCCCATTTTGGCAGTGGTTGAACAAGAAGAAAATATAAACTGGCAGCTCATTAAAATATTGACTAATACGAGTGAAGCATAGTCAGATGATGAACTTTGATGCATTCTCTCAATACCCAATCATAGTGAATGGAATATTTTTTGTATACTGCTGATATCAATTGTTGATTTCAATTTCGATGGAAACAAAAATTGTAATTGACTGAATACGATGTTGCAATAAATATTCAAAACAACGAAACTTTATGGTGACTAAGCAGTCACGAGTAGGAGAGAGCTATATGCGGACTTCGGACCATGTCTTTAGACAATGGTTAGACACAAGAGAGGGGTAATGTAAAACATTAATTATTCAAACATATTCTTAAACTAAAAAAAATGATTTCTCAAACCCCGGACCAGCATTATCCATGTGACAATTAGTCTCTACAATATATAGGTTTTGATACTTGATACATTTACCTGTAAGACTATTATAAGCTCTCCCGGTACCCCGCTTCTGCCAAGCACCATCAGATATACCTGCTAGACTCCCTTCACTCCTAAACAATAATATTTTTAATTGACAACATAATTTTTAAAAAAATAATTGCAAATTAAAATATAACTAGGTCATGTATTGCTAGAAAATGGCATATAACAATTACAATCTCATCTCCTCCTGCAGACTTTCATTACAAGTTTCCCCGGCCAATTGTCCAAACTGTTGCCCGACCTCTCTTCCTCTATTCTTCAGAGTTATCTGAGAAACGCTTGGTATGTTTAAAGCAGCCAGGAGTGAATGTACATGTGTTTCACCAAATCGGCAAATCCTCCGTTTATTATTCCTGAAATGAGTTCTCAAAATTGTAAACAAGTCAAAACAGAAAGTGAATATATGACATGATTATCCTTGTTTATTTTCTGTATGTCACTATGTGTGTGTGTATAATAAGGTACACTTGTGTGCATATGTATGTTTGAGAATAAAGGTGCTTTTAACAAAAAAGCAAGTCATATTTATCATGTTTATATACTGACTATTACTGTTCTTAAAATAAAAATAACCCACATGATCCAATTTGAATATGTGAATAAACCATGTAATAAAATACAGATTACCTGCTGCTAGTTTGGTATTTACATCCCATGCATTTCTGCCATTTGAATTCTGGTATTTGCTTCCTGTTGCCACTTCAGTACTAGCCCACAGTCTGTAAATTTGCACTTGACAAGTAGTATGGCTACATGTGCAAGGCCGAATTTTGTGTTCCCCTACACAATTTGACAATTGCAGTGGCTGTCTGCATAACTGACAACTGCTTAGACCATCCGCAAGAATCCCAAGCTCAACTACACTTCTGCCCACTCTCAACTGATTTATTTTCTCATCTTCCTAAACCGAATATGTCTTTTCTTCTTTAACGACATGAATATTCTCACCGTCACAGCCATAACTCTATGATAATGATAACTGTAATCTAAGTCACTTACTGGCACACCATTTGTTTCATCACATGTTATAAATCTGTTTTGTTTATTCGATTGCTTCTTACTTTATCTAATCCTTCAATTTTTATAACCAAAGAGTCTTTAACAAACCTGCCTTTAAACCCTGGCATCCCGGTACACACGAACGTAATCTTAAAAGTGCCAACTGGAAATCCTGAGCGCTATATAATAACTAAACCGATAACGGTACTAACCCGGCAGAACTTGTAAAGACGGATTTGGTTTTAACATTTCGTAACGATAATCATATCCGGTAAATTGTGATGACGCGTTTGAGTAGGGGCCGACCTTAAGTTTTCCTAATTTAGAAAGTTGTTTCTATACAAACCGTATTTCTTCAGTCAAAAATAGATTTGAACTCTCTCTTTTTCTTTTTGTCTAGAAGACATCAGCGCTGCAGTGCCTACCTGGAATTCTTCGTCGTTCTTCATAGCAGTATTATACACCATCATCTCAATAATATTTTGATATACCTACTTCTTCAAGAGGCCACATTGTAATCCCATCCTACCCCGTTGGGGTGTCATGATTCGAACAAATTTAAATCTGCACATTAGACAATGCTTCCATATCGCTACAGTAAAACTCGGATGTAGCGAAGTCCTAGGGACCGGTGAATTTAATTAGCTATATTCGTAATTCGTTATAACCGTATAACGAATTCGTTAAACCATATTAATGCTGGCCTTAAAAGAAGAAAAGTTGTATAAAAGTTAAGCTGTTTTATTAACAAGAAACTGCAACTCTATATAATAGAAATCAAGGTAATAATTTAACAAAACATTCTGAAAATAAAAACATTAATAAGTAACAATTATGAAAATTTAAACTTTTCTCTTCGGTACAAAATTCTTTTTCATAGTACTTAAAAAAAAAAACAGTTTCAAGTAAACAAATTTTAGCATTACATAGATTCTAAAATAATGAATATACTTAGATAGATAGTTATACAATTAAAACATACGTACCTTAAAAAAGACAAGTTGTATAAAAGTTAAGCTGTTTTATTAACTAGAAACCGCAACTGAGGTTGTCAGGGCCCGCATGGCCGTTTTATACCCCTGAACCGGTTTCCATGGCATTTTCACAACTTGTCGACATTTTTGGCACTTATGTGATGACAATTCATTCGGACCACACGCGATCATTGTTTTATGAGTAAATTAATTAAAATCTTATTTTCTGACACATCTAAGTCTTTATGCCTTGACCGGCTATATTCATTTGATACGAAATATCTTATATGTCCGAATGAATGAATGTGTTTATGGTTACCGTGCTTGATCTATGTGTTACAGTTAATAAACAAAAGGAATACATGTCCATGTTGACCCTCTTTACAATTGAATAAATTACTTTACAACCTAACTTTGCACTTAAACCACAAACACATACGTGTATAAAATAATGATAAAAATAGAAATAATCACTAATATTAATGATTAAGGTAAATAAAAAAAATAATATAAAAATTCTATATTACATGTTTTCCTTCAAGTATTACTACCAAATATGTTAGGGAAGCAAATAGTACAAAACTTGCTTTCGAAAACTAAGGTTTTGTTGAGAATTGAATTATATATACAATTCCATGAACAAAAATAAGTCAGTTAAATTTATCAAATTTTGAGATCTTTGAAAGTTCGTTATAAAAGATGTAAATTTCATTATATTTAACTTCAACGGGACCCAAAATCAGTTCGCTATATCCGTAAATTCGTTATATCAGAGTTCGTTATAACCGTGAAATTTTACAAGGATTTATTTAGAATTTTGCCGGGGACCCAGAAAAACTTCGCTATATCCGTGAATTTGCTATATCCGTGTTCGTACTAATCATGACTTTGCTGTTCTTGAGAAGATTTTACCTATGAATTCAAATGTTAAAATTTGATAATCCGTCGTGGCCCCACCCTACCCTGGGGGGCCATGATATACAAAAGAATACTTCTACTTTATTAGAAGATGATGTTTCCAAATTTCATCTTTCCTAGCCCGGTAGTTTTTGAGAAGAATTTTAAAAAATTTTCCTATGAATTCCTATGTTAAACTTTGATCCCCCATTGTTGCCCAACCCTTATGCACAATCTTGAATGATCTCTACCAGAGAATGATTCCACAGGACTTTCATCCTTCCTAGTCCAGTGGTGCTTGAGAAGTGGTATTAATTTTTCACTGAACCATAATGAAACATCACTCATCAAAATCTTCTGATAACATACGATTTCTTAAATGATAGTTTCTGTTTTTACTTCACCCACAGACTTTGAAAGAAATAAAATATTGCATGCACAACTACAGCTGGTGATTTTTATTTCCATGAAGTTTCATAAAGATTTTGAAAGCCATCTTCAAGAACACTCGAATACAAAACTAAGGTGAACCAAAATATGATTTCGTTCCGTTGATTTCAGCGATGGACCTTCTCCATTTCTTTTGCAGAAACATTTTGATCCATTAGAAGGATTTAACCTTTAAAGTTTTCAAAAGATTGCTTGTGTAGATACTGAGAAAAATAGAAATTAAAGAATTTTCTTTTTTTCTTTTTTGTTCTTTTCTATGGCAACGGTAGAAAAAAAAATTGAAAATTGACTGCGGACATAGAGATTCTAATTATAATTTCTGTAAAGTTTTATCAAGATTGTCCAAGCCATCACTGAGACCATATTTCACTTTTCACCTGATTCCATGGCAACAATGAACAATTTAGAGCAATATGAGCTGTATCTTTGAAATTTTTTTTTTGCTGTTAAAATGTGTTATTATGATTAATTTGTATGTAATTTAAACCCTTATGACCAATAAGCCCAAAATAAAGTTTAAAAAAATTTTCTGAAGAAGTATTTCTGTACAAGCAAATATACAGTTTTATATAAGAAATCCATCGCAAATATGAACAACAGAAAATTATAAATGATTTATTTTTCTGTCGTTAAAAAATTAATCACAAATTTGCAATAAAATTTTCCAATGTCAAACATGCAGCTCATATTGCTTTAAAAATTTTGAGATGCGAATCGCACAACTACAATTATTGGTCACTATTTCACCAGGAAAGAAATGACCTCTTGATTACAACAAGGAGAAAACACCCAAGTTTATATCTGTAGGTGATGGACAGGATACCAGTGGTGGTTGCCATCCTCAGCCTGCCATGCTGGTGGGAAATCCCCAGTGGTGTACATGCAAGAAATGCAGAGAAATGCCAACGCAAGTAGAAAGACTTTGTTGTGGAAGGCCACTTAACAACTGTCAATCTTATTTGCCGGTACATTGTTTTTATTTTGCCGTGTTGCATATTTCTAACGTCTCTTTAACCTCACTGTGACGCCAAGTTAGCGCATATTTCTCCGTGTATATTTCTACTTATGAGTTTACATGAAAATGGTATTCAAATCATTTTTACTGTTGGCTTACTAGACAGCCACAGCAAATGTAAATATTTGGAAATCAAAGTTGCAAAAGGAACTATCAGAATTCTTGTCAAGATAAAAAAGGATCTGGAGATAACGAACAGTATTCAATCTTTAAGTCCATAAAACAATACAAAATAAGAGCAGAACATACACGGACCACCAAAACATCAGGGGTGGGATCAGGTGCCATGGAGGATTAAGCATCCCCTGCTGACCGGTCATACCCGCCGTGTGCTCCTTGTCATGATCAGGAAATAAGGGACTAACAATTAGTATGAAAATGTCAGCCAGCATTTGACTCAATGATAAATTGTATTTAAGATCTAGAGAAGCAAGGCAACATTTTTAAAATTTTTATTACATTTTAAGCATTTTTCCTTCTCAGATACGGCGACTCTTTTGCTGTGATTCATCAGTCTCTAATTTCTCAACAATGCCGGTATTATATTTTTTTGTTAAAAATCAATGTTTGTTTTTTGTTTTTAATTATTGATGATGGTATCCTTGAGAGAAAATTTTCGTTTTTAATACAGCGGTATTCCTTGATGTTTTTTCTCCTATTTTTTATTTTAAGAAAAGAAAACCTTGTCCAGACTATATTGTCAACTCTTAGGTCATTCTAAGATTTTTTTTATCTGTATAGCGTCCGCATGCGCTTTTGTTTTTGACACCCCATATTACATAAAACCTGAAAATAAAAAAAAAATATTTGGTAAAAATCTTTGAATACTGTCAAGTTTACTATACGTTTGTCGAGAATATGAAGTGTCCGTCAAGTTCTCCCTGATTCACTTCTGCAAAACTTGGTCTTTCATCCAGGCAGTAGTTCGTTCTAATCCTTTCTTCGCCATTCCCAAGCTGTTTTAACTTTCAGTGCTCTAAAATTAACAATGAATCACATTTAATACAATTTATCAAAACATGAGAATCTAGATTTCCTTTCTTAAGGTCTTTCCACCCTCGCAATTTTAATGGTTCAAAGTACAAATACTGCATTTATTTTCTTAACATACTTCATATGTTTCAATTATTGCAAAAAATGTATAGGCCAACATATTTTTTAATATGCGAAACATAAATAAACAAATAAGTCAACAAATAAAAATCACACATTTTTAGCTCTACTGGTCAGAGACCAGAAGGGCTTATGCAATAGTACTGCGTAAACAATAATAATCTGTAAACAATTTTTCAAAATGCTACTCCTCCTACAGTCTTGGTCTGATTTCAATATTACTTGGCACAAGTAGACTTGTAATACGAAAGCCCATTTAAGTTCATTATTAGGAATGTGTATATATTTTATTTAATAAAGAGAATATTAAGTAACGTCAAGTGCCTGTGGCCATTGCCTAATTATCTCTCGGGACACTAACGATGATTACCGAACCCGAAATGGATGCTGATAACGAAGTTGTACGAAGATAGAGTCAGACGTGAGTATCTGTATTTTTCATTTATTTGAAATAGTTATACCATGTCATGAATAAATTCAACTTTGAAAAAGAGTAATAAGCGAATAACAACATAAATATGCAGTCACAATGCAATTGTGCCCATCGCTGCAGAACTGTAGCTCTCAGAAGAAAAATATATTGACAGACCGGAGAGCTACAGTGCCATCCATTGAAAAACTATATTCATTGCGCACAAAAAACTCCGTTATTTTTCGATTTTAATTATTTCTTCATGTTTTTAAACTGTCATCTCAAAATATAACTAACCGTGTGCTCCGAACATATTCTTTCACTGTTTCCACAACAAAACATTCCTTATAATTGTTGTTAATGCAATTGCAATTGTTCATGTGTCCGTTTTTATCAGGTCAACGTTAATAGTGTATTTTAGTCCGTTTCCGGTTTTGTCCGTTTGTTTATTTTCAGTGTATTTTGAGAAAGAGTGCAGTGGCTGGAACGTTATTGTTGACAAACCAATCGTGCAGAATCGTTCGTGCATCGTGCGTGATCGTTCGTGTAACGTGTGAGATCGTGCGTGTAACAGACTCAATCGTTTGCGGTTTTAATCGTGCGTGAACGTGCGTTTAGAAACGTGTAAATTTCGTTTTGTAAATTTTTATGGGAATGTTATCTGTGAAACAAGTATTTCGTTTATATTTTATTTTTTAATAATAAAAGGAATGAAGCGCAGTTTACATAATTGAATGCGGAACGAACTAACTATCGCTTGTAAACAAGCAATATAGTAAGTCGTACAATATTATGTTCTCGTCAAATAGCGCGACTTATTGTGATAAACCGTACTAAGATGTTTTACTATATCTTTCTGAAGATCATTCTTGTTTGCTGCTAATTGTGGTAAGATTTTTTTTTAATTTTCAAATAATCAAAAAGAAATATTTTTACAAATAAATAAATATTTTTCAAAGCTTACATAAATGTTTAGTCGGCGAATGTACATGCACGTCACGCACATGATTTTCGGGGTTTTGTTTAACAGTGTTTATCTCTGTAGCTTACTTTTAATTAATTTTTAAAGTAAAACAATAATTTGCAATGTCCTTTTTCATGTTTTAGAGATTCATGAACATTTTGAGGTTATGAAACATATAGATATAACTCTTAAGTTAAGTCATTCCATGCAATGTTGCCATTTTTTCCCAATCGTGTCCCCCATTGTACATATTATGAAATCCAATTCAATCAAATTTTACGGTCCACCTACTATACTTTCTTCTGATAGAACAAAAAATCCGTTTTCTTATGTCGGAGAATTATCTAAATAATTATTTATTATCTAAAATAATAAAAAAAAATCTTACATGTACTTAGTACCAGAAATACCCATTTCCGTTTTTTTATTCAAAGTCGATGATATAATATATTTATTGATAATTCTTTGAATCTGAAATCAATATAAAGCCGTATTTCGTTTTGGAAATATCGATTCCTAAATAATTTGAACTATTTTGCGTGAAGAATCGTGTGTTTGCGTTAGCAATCGTGTAAGATCGTGTAACGTGTAGAATCGTGAACGTGAAGGATCGTTCGTGTATCAGGTTTAATCGTGCGTTAATCGTGCGGAATCGTGCGTGTAACGTGATCGTTCGTGTAAGTTGTCAACAATAACGTTCCAGCCACTGTAAGTAAGTTTGGCAGAAGACTGAGTTGAATTGATAGAGATGTAGATCGTTGAAGTAAATTAGTTTAAAAGAAATTGTAGTTATTTGTGTTTACAGAAGGTGAAAGGTTAAGTTAGGAGAACAGATTTTAAGACGACACAGATTTATAGCAATATTCAGATTGTTATATATAAGGGAAAAAAACTAGAGTCAGGTCTTCTGTTTCAGTGTTTGTCATCATAATAGTAAATCTGTTTAAATAGGTTTGGAATTAGAAAACTAGCATATGAAGTTAGATATATAGATCATTTGGCAGCTTTGTACTTATTTGATATATACATGTAATAGTATGTGCAAATTTCTTTTCAGTCTATTCGTGTATTTGTATTGTTTTGTTTATGTGATTGTTTATTAAATGTGAAACCAAAAAACCAGAGTCGTATATTCAGGAAAGGATAATAGATAGTCGCCACATTGATTGGTGCCGGAACCCGGGAAACCGCTGTGGGAACTAAAGAACTTGATTGTGTTGACCAAACAAAAAGAAAATGTCTGTGACTTATCAAAAAGGACTCTGTACCAGGTACCGGAATCTTATAGATAAAGAGATGAAAAAGAGTGAAGAATTTGTGACAGCTGACATTTCTGAGGAGGATCCATCAGCATTACTTAAAAATGTTGAAACATCAATTAGACGTATAAAGGAATTCAGTGCCAAACTTGAAGAGACAATGGAGAAGTGGTCATTGGCGATAGAATACAAAGAGCTTAAACAAGGTGAAGAAAAGAAATTTAGATGTTTCTTCTATTGACCGAAGCAAGTGAACATACAGATCAGCTGATTATTCTAGAGAAAGCACTACAAGAAAACCTATCAACTCTGAAAAAACCTGCTGAAACGACAGACCCTAGACTAGAACATATAATTAATTTACAGTCGAGAATGCAGGAACAAATACTTCGTTTTCAAGAGTTGTCACTTCAACAACATACTCCAAAGACAGGACCGATAGCTGTTAAACTACCCAAGTTAGAACTCCCTACTTACAGCGGAGACAAAATCAAGTTCAAGGAATTCTGGGACGCTTTTGAGGCCACTGTTCACAAGAACCCAAAGCTCTCAAACATAGAGAAATTTAATTCTCTGAAGAGCAAATTGAAAGTAGTAGCTCAAGAAGCTATTTCTGGACTTTCACTTTCAAATGAGAACTATGACGTAGCTGTTGCCACTCTAAGAGAGAGATTTGGAGACATCCAATCACTTATCAACAAACTCTATGTAGAACTCATCAATACACAGTCAGCTACAAATGACACGTCAAGCCTGCGGAAGTTAAATGATGACCTCGAGAGACATCTGAGGAGCCTAGAAGCATTACATCAGGATGTGAACCAAGATGTGTTTGTCTCAATGATAACATCAAAGCTACCTAATAAAAACTCTGCTTCAGCTTGAAATACAGAAAGGGCCAAAAGAAAAATGGACAGTTCAGAAATTGAGAGAGTTGATGAAAGGCTATATCAAAGTCAAGGAATCTTCAGAACTTCAAGCTCTAGTGTCCCTGTACATAAGGAAAAGCATACTACAGCAGAATCCCTTGTGATATCCACTAAAGACTCATCATTTAGACAAAGCAGACCACCGGGAATTTCAGGGAAGCCTCCAGTGTGTACACTCTGTGAGGGCAGACATTGGACAGATGAGTGCAAAAAGAACAGAACTATAGAAGATAGAAAACAGAGATTCAGGGGAAAGTATTTTATTTGCTTAAAGCCTGGTCATAGAAGTAAGGAATGCAGAGTAGATAAGGCATGTTATCACTATAGGCAGACTCGTGACCACCACAGAAGTTTGTGTCCTAAGAAGTTTCCTATACGCCATAGAGAAAGTTCACATTTGACCGAGGAAGTGTGTAGAAAACAAGAGACTTCGAATTTTTCTCAGAGTTCTGAGAATAGTTTTTTATCATCAGGGGATATTGTTTTGATGCAGACGGCTCAAACAGAGGTGGCAAACAACAACAGAGAAAATTCAGAACCAACAAGACTTTTCATGGACTCAGGATCCCAGAGAACCTACATAACAGAAATCTTGGCTGAGAAATTAAAGTTGAAGATTCTTACAATAGAGAAGATATCACTCATAACTTTTGGTGCGGAGAAGAAAAAAATTGTGAAGACACCTAAAGTTTCCCTGAAAGTGAAACTCAAAGATAGACATTATCTTAGTATTGAAGCAAATGTTGTACCAAACATTACAGGAACAGTACAAAGGAAGCCTATTCCTAAGGACGTACAAGTGAAATGACAAGGTCTGTGGAAAAATCTTCAGTTAGCAGACACTCTACCAGATTTAATGCATGTGCGTATCTAATTTTCTGTACACTATTTTTCACCAAATTCAAGGTTTCATATTTAATGGGGGCACAATTATTAACTGTTTTATGGTTTTAGAATAGAATTGTCCAAGGCTAGGACAATCCCCACTTTGAGACAAAAAAATTTTCAATTTCTTCTGTAAGAATTCATGATAAGATGTTTTTCAATAATTGCATTGTCAGAGTCATCTTTTACATATCTGCCTCTTTTATTTTATTAAATAACTTACTGATATATAATTTCATTTTTCACTTAGGTTTGTTTTAAGGTGTGTGAAAAAACTCTCACAAGATTCAAACTCTATCAAAAGCTCAAGGTTGGGCATAATACTGAACCGGTTTTTTCTCTTAACCTGAACATGTTAACCACTACGTTACGAGGGCTTTTTGTCATCAATGTATGTTAGAGTGCTTTAGGTAAATCGTTTTGTTGAATTAAAAATCTTTCCATAAACATTCGCTTTTTATATTGAATGGTTTCGGATTCCAATTTTTTGAAACGTAAATTAGATTTTACATTTACTTTTCAATCTTTAAACATTAATGTGGAATGGAGACTTCAGAAGATATCAATTAAGACATGCAATGAAATAAATGAATCAAACGTGTTAAAGATGTCATAACTGACAACATAATTTTAGAAAAATAAAACTTTTCCGTGAATTTTGGAAATTGAGAAATATAATGTCTCGGAGCGAGAAATTGCCCTCGCCTTTTACGCCCTCTTTCTTTTATAAGGCATTTGCAGATTGAATTAAGAGCTATTAGTCAGATTCAGTCATTGTTGTTTTTTTTTTTAATAGAAGTTTATGCCTTTGTCTTCGAATAAGATTTATGAACATGCTTAACTTTGGTTTCATCATGCTTATTTCCAAATACGAGTATATACCTAATATAGACATTGAAAATTGCTTCGTAGGTTTAGCCCCTCCCCCCTTCCCATACACACACACTTTCCAAAGGCACGTCGCATAATGGGTTAAAAATGAGGAAAATGGTATGTGTTTGGAAAAAAAAAATTGGTACTGAAGTTAAAACTTCCCCCAGGATTTTTTTTTGAAGGTATTAAAAAATTCTTACACTTACCCCCCCCCCTTTAATTTGCTTCCGACGCCAATGCATTATTATATATTTGTATACTCGCTAGTTTGCCACTATTGTCTTTATTAATAAAGGTCTCTTAACACAAACAGAGGCATATAGGAAAAGTAAAATTTTCGGCTTATTACAATGAGTTTTCTAGCTTATCATACTCAAAGATGTGTTGTAATCTCAGTGATGTCTTTATCATAACAGTCCACAATAATAAAATTGTGTTGTATAGTAAAATTAATGTCCGGTAATGTCTGGCAACGTTTAGTGATCTTGTGATTTTTTTACATTAATTTTGTTATAATTTCTGAACAGCGTAACTTGGGACATCGCCCATGATGATGACTATGAAGTCCCAGATTCTTTTACGCGAATATTCAGAGGGTTTAATCTTGAAAATAATGGCTCAATGGTTATTTTAACGATATTGTATCTGTTGATGATGGTGTTTCATGTGGTAGAAAATGACTAAGAATTTATTTTCTTAACAATATTGCGAATGTTTCGGCAAAAACTGCTTACAAGAATATCTTTTTGCAATAAAAAATCCATGCAAATTGAATTCAACCAGTCTCTTTTTTTAAATGTGCATTGGTTTGGTGGATATTTGTGCATTCTTGCAGTCATTTTTCAAATATTACATACACAAGAGTTCACAGAGTTACTTTAAACAGATAAATAATGATTGTTATGAATGGGGTGCAAGAGCACTCTCATAGATGTCTTATTTTGAAATAGATCCCGTTTTCTTATTTTATATTTGTCTGTAACAGAGTAGGGGGTCAATATTATTTTGCCTAGTTTTGATACGTACATTTTTATTAAGATGCTACCATGGCTAAAAAGGTTAAACACTGGCAAATTCCTGCATGAAATGAAAGTTAGAGGAAGTCACACACCCCTAACGGAATAGAACTTTTTGAGGAGGTGTAGTTACAGGGGCCAGTGATTACTAGTATATTTACTTTTTATGTTTTAACTATATAAATAAATATTTATATACAAATACTAAGCAAGAAATATTCCTTTTGGTGTATTTAGTGAAGAGGTAAAATCAAACATAGTATTACCGACCGGACGCAGTTTATCAGGAGGATTGTTGCTGCCTGTGAATTTTTTGTGGAGGTTTTCTCCTCCACCCCCAACCCAAACTTACATTCAAAAACATTGCTTTTGGGCCTTGCATTGATAGAATCGCACAAAATACGACTGGACATGTACTTCTGAACCATCTCTCGATTTAAGAAGAATTAAACTTACCTTGCAGTATTTAGTAAAATTAAAAGCCAGTATAGATAATCCAGCTTTTGACTGTGTGTTTCATCCTGAGCATGAAGATTTATACAATAAAAAGTAAAAAAGCATCAAATCAATTGGTCGTAGATATAAAAAACATATCAGAGATTCTGAGTTACTGTTAAATATAATAAAATCTACTTCTAGATCTGACATACCGCCATGAAAATTACTTAAACCAGTTGTAAATATATCCTTAAAAGAATTCATAAAGTCAGAAACAAATTCCATCGTTTTCAAACATATATTTGCAGAATTAAAACAATCTAATCCTTCTACATTTGAAATTCATACTGATGGTTCAAAAGACAAAAATAAAAATAAAGTTGGTGCTGCTGCAGTGGTCGAAAATGATGTGTTTTCTACACGCCTTCCCAATAAAGCAACAATTTTTACAGCCGAAGCAAAAGCAATTCAACTTGCATTTAAATATATAGAATCATCTAGTGATAATTTATTTACAATTTTTTCAGACTCCCTCTCCTGTTAACAATCAATAAGCAGTATGAACATTGATCACCCTTTAAATATCTTAACCAAATACTTTAATATCACAAATCAAGGTAAAGTTGTTGAATTTTGTTGGATTCCAAGTCATATTGGTATTTCTGGTAACACTAAGGCTGACAGTGCTGCGAAAAAAACACTTCAGTATGAAATTGTTCACTTTAAAATTCCTTATACTGATTTGAAATTTTTAATAAAAAATTATGTTAATTCTCTATGGCAAGTACATTGGTATTTTTGCAACAAAGTTAATCATTCATCTAATTTTGGTCTGAAACGTCAGGATGAAGATATTATTTCAAATATTCGTATTGGGCATTCAAGGTTCACTCATTCATATCTACTCAACAAGGAACAACAACCCGAATGCATCTCTTGTGACTCTGTAGTTACTGTACAACACATAATGTTAGAATGTTCCGATTTTTCGCCCATACGTAGTAGACTCTTTAATAATATACATACAGCTCAACAAACTTTTTAAGCTCACATGGTTTTTCGCACAAATTAAGGTCACATTGTTGAAATAAAAATTACCACTTTCAAACTGCAGTAAAATGACATAACCCTGCATGATATTACATATATAATGTCAACCATAAATGTCTTTTAAAATTATCATCTTAAGTTTCCAAAGCGGAAGTTTTAAAGGAAAATTTATAAGTAAATGATAGGATGATTCGACAATGCGATTCTAACATAGGTTTTTACAAATTGTATAAAACGAGCTTTCCTTGATCCCATGTAATCGAAATTTTTAAATTTTCTTCCTAAAGTTGAATTTTTTAAAATAATCTTTGCTCATTTACCATACTCCTCGTGGTTTCATCGAAATGTAGCACCGAAAAGCGATACTATTGCAAAAGGAAACCACACTAAAGGGTAGGATAATGAAGTATCGTTTGTTTTTTTTGAAAAGTAAATTCCTTCTATAAAAAGGAAAATTCTTCTACATTTACGGTTTCAAACGTTAAAATTTTGCAATGGGATGAATCTTTCATGATTCTAGATTTTAGAAGTTGACTCTTAAAAATCCCACCTTATTAACATAGAAAGCAGTCAAACAAATGAAAAAAACAAGTAACATCCCGAGTTAAAGGGTCAAAATGTACAGAAAATACAAGTTACAGTGGCTGTACTGTACCCATGTCTACGTTTCTGCCAAGAGCTATTGCTTTCAAAAGAACGGATAAAAAGACAGTTACAATTGGCAAGAAACTACAAAAATTCAAATGAGAATAGATGTTATTTTTCAGCCATGAATATATCAAAGTTCTACCTTTTGATTTGTGTGAATTATGTTTCAGTCAGTGAAATAAAACTCAAATTATGTAAACAGTTACTTTTAAAATGCATTTTGTTGTCTCGATACACAATATTATATCATATCAATGTGACCTTAATTTATGCTAAAATGCATGTGAGTTTAAAAAGTTTGTTGAGCTGTACAATGCATTACCTTTTTCAAAATATTAATCCGTTTACAATATTAAAGTATTTGCAAGAACCTGGATTTACTGTAAAATCTAAATTAATGTATTTTAATGAAAACCATTTCAATTATTTTAATTGAACAGCTTTACATTTTTAATTTTTAGGTCCGTCGGATGGGACGTTAAATGGTGCCCCGTGTCAAGGATTACAACCCCCTTGGAACGCAAAAGATCGTTTCCCTGATTTTCGAAAAAGAGTAGGCTCATTTGGGGCCGTCAGAGAAACCCAAAACTTTAAAAACTGGTCACATGATTTACTTTTAATCGCCGATATATGGCTGAAATATTGCCGATTCGGCGTAAAACATTAATCAATCAATCAATTTATTAAACTGATAATATCATACCTGGTAGTGAATTATCCATTTTCAAGTCATTTCTATGTTTACAATCACATAATTTGTATTGTCCTATATGACGTTACGTCACGTTATACCAATTATGACGTTCCGTTCACAATTTTCTAGTAAAACAATGCCATACTCGAAACTCTCTTAAAGAAAAAGTAAAATAGATATCAAAAAAGGAAAACAGTTCCATAA